ATCCATTCTACTAAATATCATTCTTATAATGCATCATTTAATAACTCTTTACTAAGCAGTACGTGGTCCATATGACCTCTCAGAGTCAGGCAGACTTGGATTTGAATTCAAGTTATGATAGTTCCTAGCCTGGTACTCCTGAGCATGTTAGTTGATTTCTCTGAGCCAAAATCTTCCCAAAAAGAGGAGATTTTGGGAGAATGGTAGTGTAGCTGACTCTTGAACAATGCAGGGGTGTGGGGTGTCAACACTCCATGCAGTTGAAAATCCACATGTAACTTTCGAGTCCCCCAAATCAACCACTAATAGTCTTCTGTGACCAGAAGCCTTACTAATAACATAAACAGTCAATGAATACCAATTTTGTATGTTCTATGAATTATATACTGTATTCTAATAATAAAATAGAGAAAAAAGTTATTAAGAAAATCATAAGAGAAAATATGTTTTTAGTACTGTACCGTATTTATTTTAAAAATTCATACAATCAACAAACTAAAAGACAACCTACTGAATGGGAGATGACATTTGCAAGTGACATATCCAATAAAAGTTCAGTATCTGAAAGGTATAAGGAACTTATACAACTCAACACCAAATCATCATCATCATCATCTAGTTAAAAAGCAGGCAGAAGACATGAATGGACATTTCTCCCAAGAAGACATACAGTTGGACAACAGACACGTGAAAAGATGGTTAACATTACCAGTCATTAGGGAAATGCAAATCAAAGCCATAATGAGATATCACCTCACACCTGTCAGAATGATGAAAATCAAAAACACAAGAAATAGCAAGTGTTGGTGAGGATGTGGAGTAAAAGGAGCCCTTGTGCACTGTTGGTAGGAATGCAAACCGGTGCAGCCACCATGTAAAACAGTATAGAGGTTCCTTAAAAAGTTAAAGATAGATTACCATATGAACCAATATTTCCACTACTGGGTATTTATGTAAAGGCTACAACACATTGATATATGCACTGCTGTGTTTATTGCAGCATTATCTACAATAGCCAAATTATGGAAGCAGCTCAAGTGTCCATCAATAGATGAATGATAAATAAATGGTATGCACACACACACACACACACACACACACATATGCACACACAGTGGAATATTACTCAGCCATTAAACAGAATGAAATCTTGCTATTTGCAACAACATGGATGGATCTAGAGGACATAATACTAAGTGAAATAAATAAGAGAAAGACAAATGCCTTATGATTTTACTTACATGTGGAATTTAAGAAATAAAACAAATAAGGGGCACCTGGGTGGCTCAGTCAGTTAAGGATCCGACTTTGGCTCAGGTCATGATCTCACAGTTCAGTTCGTGAGTTCGGGCCCCGTGTTGGGCTCTGTGCTGACAGCTCAGAGCCTGGAGCCTGCTTCGTTTCTGTATCTCCCTCTCTCTGCCCCTCCCCAACTCGCACTCTGTCTCTCTCACTTAAAAATAAACATGAAAAAGCAAGTTTAAAAAAAAAGAAAAAGAAATAAAACAAAGAAACAAAGAAAAGAAAAGAGCCAAACAAACAAACAGACTCTTAACAATAGACAACAAATTGATGGCTACCAGAGGGGAGATGGGTGGAAGATGGGCGAAATAGGTGAGGGGGATTAAGAGTACACTAGTATACTTACCATGGGGCACCTGGGTGGCTCAGTCAGTTGAGCATCCAGCTCTTGATTTCAGCTCAAATCATGATCCCAGGGCCATGGGATCAAGTCCTGCATTGGACTCCATGCTGACCGTAGAGTATGCTTAAGATTCTCTCTCTCTCTCTCTCTCTCTCTCTCTCTCTCTCTCTCTCTCTTTCTCTCTCTCT